GGTGTATATTTTCATGTTACATTGTATTAACTACTGCTGGGATCTTGGTGTACATTTTCATGTTACATTGCATTACCTACTCCTGGAATCCTGTTATACATTTTCGTGTTACATTATATTAACTACTGCTGGGATCCTGGTGTACATTTTCATGTTACATTGCATTACCTACTCTTGGGATCCTGATACGCATTTTCATGTTACATTGTATTAACTACTGCCTGGATCCTGGTATACATTTTCATGTTACATTGCATTACCTACTGCTGGGATCCTGGTGTACATTTTCATATTCATCGTATTAACTACTTTGTCATCTCATTATGGAGCCCTGGTGGCATAGTGATTAAGAGCTCGGCTGCTAATCTTGAGGTCAGCAGTTCGAATCTACCAGCCACTCCTTGGAAACCTTGTGGGGGCAGTTCTATTCTTTTCTGTGGGGTCGCTATGAGTCGGAATGAATTTTTTTGGGTCATCTAATCATATGTTTTCCAGAAGCATTATTTTAATGGCTGCATGATACTCATCCCTGACACGGAGATGTTGTATTTGATCCAAACCAAACCAGTTACCATTGAGTCAATTCCGACTCATGGCAACCCCATGTGTGCAGACTAGAACTGCTCCATAAGGTTTTCGTGGCTGAGATCTTTCGGAAGCAGATTGCCAGGACTGTCTTTCAAGATGCCTCTGGGTGGTTTGAACCACCAACCTTTCAGTTAGTAGCTGAGCACTTACTCGTTTTTTCCACCCAAACCAAAGAGAAACAAACCCATTGCGGTCAAGTCGATTCCGACTCATAGTGACCCTATAGCAACCCTGTAGAACAAAGTAGAACTGCCCCATAGAGTTTCTAAGGAGCATCTGGTGGATTTGAACTGCTGACCTTTTGGTTAGCAGCCATAGCACTTAACCACTATGCCACCAGGGTTTCCTTTTGCCACCCAGGAACTCCATATATTCGACCCAACAATTCCCCTACTGTTAGATATTTAGGTTGTTTCCACCTCCCTGATGCCTGCTTGTGCTTGGATATGGCCTGCATTCTGGACAATCCTCTTGGATTCCCAGAGGTGTAATTACAAGATTAAAGGGCATGGAAAACACAAGTTTCCTGACACCCATTCCAAATCGCTTTCTGGGAAAGCTGACAGCATCCATCCCCATCAGCCTCTCTCCTACTGTGCCGGCAACATCCTCATTCTTTGTTCTTTTCCAAAACCCAGTTCTGTTTCTGAATAGATGGCACACCACATGCGTGGGACATAAACCCGAGATTGTTCCGAGGAGTAAACAGGAGATCCCCGCCCTCACTGCTCCCCTTCCGAGCTAGTTGGCACCTTGGAGCTCACGCTTGGCAGGCTCGAGAGGAGACCTCCTTGCTCGGCTCCTGCCTCCTTTGTAGTGTCTCACCTCGTCCGTGTTTGTTTCTGTCTGCACCCGCCTCACTGTTGCGAGTGGAAGGGAACCTGGGGACTCTTGGAGCCAGAGGCTCCTGCGTTCATGACTGCGTGGCCACTGCCACCTGCTCCTTCCCAGTGGGCTCGCTTCCTTCCCTGGCGTGTCAGGGAGCGTCCTGCGAGTGGCCTCCTCTGCCTGTCTCCCTCCCAGACGCTGAGCCCCCTGAAGCGGGCGTTCATTCTGGAGGTTCTGTCCGGGTGCCTTGAGTACCAGAAGTTACTGAAAATTGTGGTCGACGCCTTCTACGTGCGGGACGGGCAGTTCTGCCTGTGGGCCGACTACAGCCTCTTTGAGGGTAGGTAACCTGTCCCCTTAATACCAGCTGCTGGCCTTCCTGTGACTTCAGCCCTCTGGGGGGGCTCCCACAGCCCTCACTTCACTTGACCCTCAGGGTTGCCCCCTAAGTGGGTAGGCCAGGGTGTGTGTTACCACACCTTATAGTCATGCAAACTGAGACCCCAGGCTGGCTGAAGGCCATTTAGCATCCTTGGGACTTATGACCAGCCTCAGGGCAGACAGACCTGGGCCCCAGCTGCCCCTTTCTAGAGCCACCTCTGGCCCCCTGAGAAAGGCACAGTCTGGGTTGAAAGAGAATGGCCCAGAAGGCCAGCTTGAGTGTAGTGACAAGCCCTTCATAGGTCGAGTTCCTGACCTCCAACCCCAAGGCTCATGGGCAGGGTGGACTGTCCTGGAGGCGGTTAATATGAGACGATGTCCCCATTGAGCTTCTTCAGGCCTCTGATGGCCACTGCTTCATGGGGCAGGGCGGCCAGTACCTCCACTGGGTGAGGTCCTTCTGGCCTTGGAACCCTACCCTGGAAGGAGTGAGGGTGGGAGCATGGGCTGCGGGGTGCCACAGCCACCATTGGCATCCTTGGCCCACACACCAGGTGGCATAACAACAGTCCCTGGCTCCAAGGACTCTAGCCAAGCCTGGGTACATTCAAGATCCAGTTGCCCTTAAGGTCATTAAGAGTCTCCACGTTGATAAACTAGAATCCAGAATGATGTAACTTGTCACCCAGGGAGTATATAGAATGTCTGAGAACTTTCTGGAATCTGTGTGGAAGGACTTTGAAAGCCATGCAGAGCTCTACGTGCCTAAGACGAGCTCACTCATATGTGGTTGTCACTGTAATCGGGGCGGCAGGTGGAGGCTTTGCCCCATCGCCATGCACACTGTGACAGCGCGCTGTGCAGCCCTGGGTCTCCGCCTAGATTCGGGTGGCCCTCTGTGGGGATGGGCTCGCCCACCCCACCCTCACTCCGTCCGCATTTCCTCAGTGATCTGCTACCTGGCCACTTTCCAGCTGGAGGAGCTCGGCTTCCAACTCTTCTGTGAGATCATCAAGTCCCAGCCCCCGGACAAGATGCGCAAGGTGAGCCCACCGCCCTCCCTCCCACCTGCATGGCTGGGGCAGGAGAGCGGCCACCTGGTGGGGAGCTGAACTTCTGTTCCTAAACCCTAGAGACAAAGCTCTATCCAATCAGTCGCCGACCTGTAGCCTCTGTGGCTCATTTTAAGGAAGGAAGCACTGGGGGATCACTCTGTGTTGAAAAGACACTGGCACCCTCTCCTCTCTGCAAATGTGCTGTTTGTCCTGGGGAAATGTGATCCCAGGTCCTGGGGGTTGCAGTGGGCAGTCCTGACCGATGATTAGTTATAAGCCTGTCCTGTCATCAGCTGGGCCTGGGGAACCTTCTCCTGCCCCTTCTGACTCACGAGCAAACTCCAGCCTGAGGGTTGGCAGGCAGCAAGGGGAGAGCCCTCAGGGACCATCCACCTTGCCCTGGCCAGGCCACGCCTGTGTCTGCCCGCTCACGTCTGTACAGAGCACAGCTGCAGGCCTGCAGGCTCTCTGTGCCTGAGCTTGTTGCCATGTACAGCAGCACCCATCAGCTGAGTGGGCACTGTTGTAACCAAACTGTTCCAGCTCTGCTCAGGCTACTCTACTAACAAGTTGGGGGTTGGTAGTGGTGCCCAGAGGCTAAGATCTCACTGTGGCCTGGCTTCCTCCACGCTCTGTGCTTGTGCTTGCTTTGTCCTCACAAGGACCCTGTAAGGTCACTCCTCGAGGAAGCTGAAGCACAGAGAGGTTAAGTAACTTGCCCAACATCACACAGTGAGTAAGTGGAGGAGCTGGCTTTCGGGCCCAGGCATGGAACCCGGGCGTGCTCCTCCTTAACCACCTTGGGAGTGAGCGGTCATCAAGCCAGGGGAGCAACTTGTTGGAGGAGAGAAGAGAAGACCTCAAGCTCAGGAGTGCTTCACGGACCCCTCTGGAAGGAAGCAGCCAGCTCTGCAGGGGCAGAGCAGGGCATGTGTGAAAACGGTGTAGGGGCAGTATCTGACCTCCTCCAACCGCACAAGAGGGAAGGAGAACCAAGATCAACAGCGCAAGGCTGACTCCCACAAGGTGGAGGCAAGACATCCTCTCTCCACCATCTTTACTAATTCTGACACCAACCGTCCCTCGCACAGCACTCTCCTCTCTTCTGGATTGAATAATTCATTGCAATGGCCACACAGAACTCACAGACCATACTCACGATTATGGGGTTTATTAGGGAAGTTACAGTTACAATTCAGGCTCAGGAACACTCAGGATACAGTTCTTCCATCAGGACAGCCTCTCCCCAGCTGTGCTCGCTGGCACGCCGCTCCCTGGCCCTAGACCTCTGCCCAGAGGCACTCAGCTTTCTCTCTCCGTGGGCCTGGAAACCCACCTCGCCATCTCCTGCTGCCGGGTCTCTCCTACCAGGTCTTTCCTGTCATCGCTTCTCACCATTTTCAGGGTTGCAGCTTATTCTCTCTCTCTCTCTCTCTCCGTCTCCATCTCCTGCTTCCAGGAGCTTCTCAACCCAGGGATCCAGGGTCCAAAGGACGTGCTCTCTGCTCCTGGTTGTTCTTCCTTAGTGGTCATAGGCTCCTCCTCTCTGCCCTGGAATTGGCTCTCTTTTAAGGCAAAACTGACCAGTCCCCTTGTTGTTGTTGTTAGGTGCCATCGAGTCAGTTTTGACTCATAGCAACCCTATTGAAACACTGCTTGGTCCTGTGCCATCCTCACCGTTGTTGTTATGCTTGAGCCCATTGTTGCAGCCACTGTGTCAATCCATCTCATTAAGGGTCTTCTTCTTTTTCACGACCCTCTACTTGACCAAGTGTGTTGTCTTCTCCAGGGACTGATCCCTCCCGATAACTATCCAAAGTATGTGAGACGTAGTCTCGTCATCCTTGCTTCTAAGGAGTATTCTGGTTGTACTTCTTCCAAGACAGATTTGTTCATTATTTTGGCAGTCCGTGGTATATTTAATATTCTTCGCCAACACCACAACTGAAAGGGGTCAGTTCTTCTTGGGTCTTCCTTATGCGTGGTCCAGCTTTACATGCATATGAGGCAATTAAACACACCATGGCTTGGGCCACATGAACCTTAGTCTTCAAGGTGACATCTTTGCTGTTTAACGCTTTAAAGAGATCTTTTGCAGCAGATTTGCCTATTGCAATGCATCTTTTGATTTCTTGACTGCTGCTTCCATGGGTGTTGATTGTGGATCCAAGTAAAATGAAATCCTTGACAACTTCAATCTTTTCTCCATTTATCATGATATTGCTTATTGGTCCAGCTGTGAGGATTTTTGTTTTCTTTATGTTGAGGTGTAATCTGTACTGAAGGCTGTGGTCTTTGATCTTTATCAGAAAGTGCTTCAAGTCTTCACTTTCAGCAAGCAAGGCTGTGTCATCTGCATATTGCAGGTTGTTAATGAGTCTTCCTCCAATCCTGATGCCCCTTTCTTTTTCTTATAGTCCATCTTCTCGGATTATTTGCTCAGCATACAGATTGAATAAGTACAGTGAAAGGATGTAACCCTGATGCACACCTTTCCTGACTTTAAACCACGCAGTATCCCCTTCTGTTTGAACGACTGCTTCTTGACCTATCTACAGGTTCTTCAGGAGCACAATTAAGTGTTCTGGAATTCCCAGTCTTCAAAATGTTATCCATAGTTTGTTATGATCCACACAGTCGAATGCTTTGCATAGTCAATAAAACACAGGTAAGCATCTTTCTGGCATTCTCTTCTTTCAGCCAGGATCCATCTGACATCAGCAATGATATCCCTGGTTCCACATCCTGTTCTGAATCCAGCTTGAATTTCTGGCAGTTCCCTGTCTATATACTGCTGTAACTGCTTTTGAATGATCTTCAGCAAAATTTTACTTGTGTGTAATATTAATGATATTGTTCAATAATTTCTGCATTCTGTTGGATCACCTTTCTTTGCAACGTGCATAAATATGGATCTCTTCCAGTCAGTTGGCCAGGTAGCTGTCTTCCAATTTCTTGGCATAGACGAGTGAGCACTCCAGGCGCTGCATCTGTTTGTTGAAACATCTCAATTGATGTTCCATCAATTCCTGGAGCCTTGTTTTTTGCCAATGCCTTCAGTGCAGTTTGGACTTCTTCCTTCAGTACTGTCAGTTCCTAATCATATGCTGCCTCCTGAAATGGTTGAACGTCGACCAATTCTTTTTGGTATAGTAACTCTGTATTCCTTCCATCTTCTTTTGATGCTTCCTGAATCATTTAATATTTTCCCCACAGAATCTTTCAGTATTGCAACTTAATGCTTGAATTTTTTATTCAGTTCTTTCAGCTTGAGAAATGCTGAGCATGTTCTTCCCTTTTGGTTTTCTGTCTCCAGATCTTTGCACATGTCATTGGAATACTTTACTTTGTCTTCTGGAGCCGCCCTTGGAAATCTTCTGTTCAGCTCTTTTACTTCATCATTTCTTCCTTTTGCTTTAGCTACTCAACATTCAAGAGCAAGTTTCAGAGTCTCTTCTGACATCCATTTAGGTCTTCTTTTGTTTCCTGTCTTTTTAATGACCTTTTGCTTTCTTCATGTATGATGTCCTTGCACAGCTCATCTGGTCTTTGGTCATTAGTGTTCAACGTATCAAATCTATTCTTAAGATAGTCTGTAAATTCAGGTGGGATATACTCAAGGTTGTATTTTGACTCTCATGGACTTGTTCTAATTTTCTTCAGTTTCAACTTGAACTTGCATATGAGCAATTGATGGTCTGTTCCACAGTTGATCCCTGGCCTCGTTCAGACTGATGATATTGAGCTTTTGCATCATCTCTTTCTACATATGTGGTCGATTTGATTCCCATGTATTCCATCTGGCCAGGTCTGCATGTATGGTCGTCGTTTATGTTGGTGAAAAAAGGTATTTGCGATGAAGAAGTTGTTGGTCTTGCAAAGTTCTATCATGTGATCTCTGGCATCGTTTCTATTGCCAAGGCCATGTTTTCCAACTACTGATCTTTCTTCTTTGTTTCCAACTTTTAGATTCCAATCACCAGTAATTATCAATGCATCCTGACTGCATGTTCAATCAATTTCAAACTGCAGAAGTTGGTAAAAATCTTCAATTTCTACATCTTTGACCTTAGTTGTTGGTACATAAATTTGAATAATAGTTGTATTAACTAGTCTTCCTTGCAGGCATATGGATATTATCCTATCACTGACGGCGCTGTACTTCAGGATAGATCTTGAAATGTTCTTTTTGACAATGAATGCGACGCCATTCCTCTTCAAGTTGTCATTCCCAGCATAGTAGATCACATGATTGTCTGATTCAAAATGGTCAATACCAAACCATATCAGCTCACTAATGCCTAGGATATCGACCTTTATGTGTTCCATTTCATTTTTGATTATTTCCAAGTTTTCTAGATTCATAGTTCATACATTCCAAGTACCAATTATTAATGGATGTTTTGCAGCTCTTTCTTCTCATTCTGAGTTGTGCTACATCAGCAAATGAAGGTCCTGAAACCTTGACTCCATCCACACCATTAAGGTCGACTTTACTTTGAGGAGGCAGCTCTTCCCCAGTCGTATTTTGAGTGCCTTCTAACCCGAGGGGCTCATCTTCCGGCACTATATCAGACAGTGTTCTGCTGCTATTCATAAAGTTTTCACTGGATAATTCTTTTCAAAAGTAGACCGCCGGGTCCTTCTTCCTAGTCTGTCTTAGTCTGGAAGCTCAACTGAAAGTTGCCCGCCATGGGTGACCCTGCTTGTATTTGAATATCAGTGGCATAGTTTCCAGCATTACAGCAACACGCAAGTCCCCACAGTACAACAAACTGACAGACACATAGGGGGTGGACCACAATTACCCTATCACATAGTCCCTCCCAATCACCTGGGTGGGAGTTACAAGACCATAGCTAGAAAGGCCACACAAAAGTAATCAATCACACCACAGCATGGAATCAACCACCCAGGACTGCAGTCCCCAAAGACCTTGGCCCTTAACAAGGTGAAACAAGAGAGCACACTGGCCCAAGCCAATATCTTATTTTTAATGATATTTTTCCTTATCTACATATAAATATAAGTAATTCCCAGTGAATAAATACTTTCATATTTTCTTAAGCAAGGCTTCATTTAAAAAAAAAAAAAAAAAAGGAAGCAAAGTGGAAGGCATTCCTGAGAGATCTTTGAGACTGACCCAGGGGTGGCTCCACAGCGTGTGAACTGTGCAGGAACACAGGCCTGCCCTCGGGAAGACCCCGAGCTCAGAAGGACCCTGCACAGGAGAGCCTCATGGTGTTTGGGAGAACTTCACGTTCAGAAGGACTTCATGTTCAGGAGGACACACGCTAGGGAGGACCTTTACCCAGTGTCATGGATTGAGTTATGTCCCGCAAAAAATGTGTCTATCAATTTGGCTGGGCCATGATTCCCAGTATTGTGTGATTGTCTACCATTTTATCATCTGATGTAATTTCTCTATGTGTTGTAAACTCTATCACTATGACGTAGTAAGATGGATTAGCGGCAGTTATATTGATGAGGTCTACAAGGTTAGGTAGTTGTCTTAAGCCAATCTCTTTTGAGATATAAAAGAGAGAAGCGAGCAGAGAGACATGGGAACCTCATACCACCAAGAAAGCAGTGCTGGGAGCAGAGGGCATCCTTTGGACCTGAGGTTCCTGCGCTGAGAGGCTCCCAGACCAAGGGAAGATTGATGACATGGACCTTCCTCCAGAGCCGACAGAGAAAGCGTTCCCCTGGAGCTGACACCCTGAATTTGGACTTGTAGCCTACTAGACTGTGAGAGAATAAACTTCTTTGTTAAAGCCATCCACTTGCGGTATTTCTGTTAGAGCAGCTCTAGATGACTAAGACACCCAGGAAGACCCTACCTCTGTAGGGCCCACACTCAGAAGGACCTGTGCTCAGGAAGACCCTCACTCAGGAGAACCTCATGCTTGGGAGGACCTGCATGTGGTTAGTGCTCTGATGTCGCCATCTTGAAACCCTTATGGAGTCCACACACTCTGGGGCTTTGGGGAGGAGGCCAGCCTAGGCCTTGAGGATGGGAACAAACTGTCGGGACCAGCTGGCCTCCTTCTGTCACTGCTGTGGTCAGGAGTGACCCAACCAGCAGTGTATGCTTGTTCACGGTGGCCTCAGCCCAGAGTGCAGACAGACGGATGGCTCTGGCTGGACTTCCCAGCCCACCATTTGTGGCCTCCCAGGAGGTGGTTGCCTGCCATTGTAGTGGGAGTGGCCCTGGGACAACACCTGAAGGGGGCCACGTGGTCCTGCTGGCCTCAAGGACTCCCACGTTCACATGCTTATGGAATCAGCTCAAAAGACAGAAGGCTTTTTCAAACCCACTCCCACTCCAGCACGTTCTCTGGTAGGGCTGCCCCCACCGCACCTCCAGTGTGAATCACGGCCTCATTCCGGAAAGCCCTGTTTGTGAGCTGTATTCCTGGTGGGCTACCTGGGAAGAACCAATGGCTGTGCCCGAGTGAGGGTGGGCTGGAGGACGGGGAGTAGATCCAGGGGTGCCCAAATAGTAGGAGCTACTGCCCCTTTCAGGCAGGAGGTGGAACAGCATGGAAAGATCGAAATGAGGTGGGGAGGGAGCCAGAGAGAGAGAGTGGGTGGGGGGCCAAGCCGTGGGGGCTTTGCACTCCTACAGGGAGAGAGGGACTGGCCGGGCTGTGCCTGCTCCAGAGGCCTCTTCCTCCCTGGTGTGTGGGTGGCCGTCTCCTCCCACGGATTCCTGACCCCCTGCAGTGTGACTGTGCCCCTGGCCAGTCTCCCCCTGCCTTGACTGTGTTCCCGTGAGAAGGAGGTCTGGGCCTGAGGCAGCCGAGCCCCCCTGAGGACTCCTGCTCCCCCCGCCCCCAGTTCCTCGGGTTCTTCTTCAACCCCCTGCACCTGTGTTCCTGGATCAAGGACGAGTGGAGCCTGGTCTATGAGACGGCCCACGTCAAGGAGAACTGGATCGACCCCCTGATGAGGTGGGTATGGACAGTAGGGGGCGTGGGGGTGCCGAGCAGACAGAGGAGGGCAGGGGCCGGGCCGGGTGGGCAGAAGGGCACACGTCACTGCCCTCCCACCCCAGGTGGCTCTGTGGGACGGGTGTTCTATGAGGGATGGGAGGGGTAATTGTGCCATGTTGGGATGAGGAGCTGCAGGCTCAGAGGACCCCCAAGTACCCAACTATCCTCCATGCCAGGTGGCTGACTAGTGGCCATTTGAGGAGCTGCCAGGTCAGGGGGCGGAGAGAAGCCCCCTCTGCTCTGGAGCCCACCCGCTGAGTAGGGGACTGGGGTGGTGGCTGCTGGTGGAGAAGGGAGGCAGACACTCTGGACTGTGCAGCCCCCAGCCCTGTGGGGACCCTCCCAGGCTCTGGCCCTGCCCTGGCCTCTGCAGATCCCAAGGCAGAAGGGGCAAGGAAACTGGCAGCTGGGCTTCCAGTGGATTCAGGCCTAGATCCCTCTCTGGCCTCCCAAAACACCACTCCTGGGCCTGTTGCCCCAAAGCTGCCACTGCTGCCTCCCCCTGCCCCACAGGCCTGGGACAAACCCTAGAGGTTCTCTTGGTACAGACAGACTCACGGGCACAAGAGCCAGCATAGTCACCTGGGGCCCCTGCCTTTGGCCCCCATGGAGAGGCTGCTGGGCCCAGGGTGCCACTGGACGCACTTGGGGCTGTGCTCCAGGGAGCGGGGGACACCTTACCCTGCAACTGATTCTCTTCTGATAGGGCTCGGGGACAAGCCACCTTACCTTCCTGGGGACAGACAGACTGACTATTCTGGCATACGCAGACTATTTGCAGGAGACCTGGAGGCCCAGGGGAGGTGGGAGTCCCTCCTATGGGGAGGAGGCCCTGGTCCCCAGGGAGGTTGAGTGTCCCCTGGAGCTGCCCCTTTCCCCAGTGGGGCAGTCCTCTGTCCCAGCCCACCACTGCCAGTCTTGGGAGAGCCACCAGGTCAGGCAATGGATAAACTTGTCATCTGCTGCCCATGGGGTGCCCACAAGGGCCTAGGTCTGCAGCGTCCCCCACCTTCTACCCTGCCACCCCCAGATGTGGGCTTCTCTGTCCTCTGGGACCCAGCCCATCACACACCTTCCACGCCACCCCGTACCAGCCAGACCCTGGAGGGAGGACCTCAACAAATAGCAGACTCCCTGTGGCCCTCAGACAAGCCCTTCTTCCTTCTTGGTATCTGTGGTTCTCACGGTGGGCCCAGGGGAGTGACACCAGGCAGGGCTGGTGTGGAGGCAGGGAGAGGGGAACCCCAACCTTGGCGTGGCCCCACAAGGCCCTTCCCAAAGCCCTGATTCAGAGCATACCGGAGGCTCTACCTGGGGACAGCTGGGTCTCCCAGGGAGACACAGGGTCCGGGCTCCAGGCTCCTCGCCCCGCCCTACTCCTGCAGCTTCGTTCCCACCTGTCCCCACAGTGCATCTCTGGAACGTTCCTTTGCAATGGCTGCTCCTCCCACTCCGGCTCCCTCCCCTGTGCCATCTGCTCTGCCCAGATTAGCTCCGTATCCCAGCTGCTCCTCTTCAGATCCCTCCCATCCCTGCGTGGTGCCTGCCTTGCCTCCTCCCCAGCTCCCCATTCCCCAGTGTGGCCTAGAAGGATGCCTCTGGACCTCAGTTTCCTCATCTGAAAAAGTGGTGTGCTGATGTGTGTGTCACGGGGGTGGTGTTGGCTCCTGGCCTGCAGAGTGGTGCTTCCCAGTAAAGAGGGGCTGTTGGTTCCATTATTACCCCCCATCCTGAGGCAGGCCCCAAGTGCTGGGCATCCCCCTATCCCAAGGGCCCAGCCCCCGTTCACCTGCTCAGGCAGCAATCCTGAACCATGTTTCCCACTTCCGGCTCCAAGGTGGCAGCCAGAGGTCCAGGAGCTGATCAACGAACTGGAGGCGGTGTCAGCCAATCGGGCCCACCTCACCAAGGCCAAGGCCAAGGTCACAGAGCCCAAGGAATTCAAGCTGACTGCCCCCAGGCCCCGCGCCATCCCAGTGCCCGAGCCAGTGCCCGTCATGGCCAAGCCCAGGCCAGTAAGTGCAGATGCCACGTGTGTGTGGGCTCACCACTGCCCCTGACAGTCTTGCTGCGTCACCACGTCCTGGCAGGGAGAATGGACCGCGTGGGCCAGTGGGGTGCTGTACTCCTCCCTAGGGCCACATGGGTGGACCTGAAGCCTATCCAGTGGACACCTGCCCTCCTGTGCTGGGTCCCGTCAGCAGACACTGAGTGAAGCTGTCAGGCCACGGGGCTCAGACCCATCTGGAGTTGGAGCTTGGAGCCCACTTTTAACTCTGTGCCAATGTACTCTCCCCTCACCCTCATTAAATATCACCAGTATACTCTTCGGGCTGTGGGCAGGCAATAGTTCCTGTCTGTGTGAGCCTCAGTCACACTGGCCTGCCCCCACCCCAGGCCCTTTGCACATTTCTGCCCTCTGCCCAGAACCTCTCCCTCTCTCTGCCTCACTGATTTCTTGTGTCAGGATGCCTTGTATTACAAGTAAGGAAAAAGTGCAGTTCAGACTGGCTTAAGCAATAGAGAACTTACGGACTCTCATGACTAAAGTAGGATAGACATCAGGCATGGTTCAATCAGGGCTCCAGCTCTGCTTCTCTGTGATCCTCTCCACCGTGTTCTCTATGAGTCAGCTTCATCTTTGGGATAACCCCCCACATTATAGCAAAAAGTCCAGGCCTCACACACACATTCTACACCATCCAGGTAGAAGATGACATCTAGGGGCAAGAATTCTTTGGAAAAGTCTGATTGGATCAGCTTAGTTCACATGCCTACCCTTGAAAGGATCACCATGACCAGAGTGCAATGTTCTGACTGGTTATGGACTCTATCCTGAGAGCTTGGGGTGAACTGAGCTGCCCAGAACCAATCTGCTTCCCCAACAGAGCTGAGAACTCTACAGAAGGGTAAAGAGATGGTGCTGGGAGGTCCTGGAGCCCACCCCATTCCCACTACCCTTCAGGACTGATAATCTTTCTTTCCAGAAGGCTTTCCATGAACCCCTCAACTGAATCCATTAGTTTCCTTCTCACTGACCCTAGCTCCCTTCCTTCACAGTATCAATTAGAGTTGTAGTTGTTTAGTTATTTCTGGCTCTGTTTATTGTTGTCTTCTCCACTAGACCTCATCCATCTTATTTGCCCCATATTCCCGACACCTGACACAGTCCTGACTCAGAGCGGGCCCTTAGTAATTATTTGTTGGATAGATGGATGATTGCATGGATAGGTGGATGGATGGAATGATGGATGGATGGATGGATGGATGGATGGATGGATGG